GAGCCAAATCAAGGGATCGAAAAAATATACGAAATAAGAAGAATATACTACACAAGTGTTATAGTAGAGAAGCCATATCCTAAGAGGGAAATCGTACAGTGTCACAATTGCCAGGCATATGGCCATACCAGGACTTACTGCCATCATCTGCCGCGCTGTGTGAAATGTGGAGAGCAGCACAAATCCGGGGAGTGCACAAAACCGAAACGGGATCCTGCAGTTTGTGCATTGTGCCTTGAAGGACATCCAGCGAACTACAAAGGCTGTCAGATCTACAAGAATATTAAATCAAGATATCTAAAATCCCGGACCCAAGAAGAAGCAGAGGCATCAAGAAGAGAACCTAACGCATCAAGAAGAGGACCTTCAAAAAAAATTGACCCAACGGTGTCTTTTGCACACTTATTAGGAGGTAAGAATGATGTTACTTATTGTGAGACCCTGCCGCAACAACAACACATACCTCAAAATTCTCAACCCCACCCTCAACATCCTAATCAAACTTCACCTAATCAACAGTTTTATCAACACCAAATTCCCCGCATTCCTCCTCCCTCAAATACCACAGATCTCACCAGTTTACTTACATCTTTCCTCTCCGAATTCAGATCCCTTGTTACTCCTTTGATATCTCTTCTCACCAATCTTGTATCACATTTTATCCCTCCCGCGAAAAATCCTTAAATGACTTCCAATAAACCTTTATCCATTCTCCTTTGGAATGCGAATGGTGTTAGGAATCATACAAACGAACTAACTACATTATTACTTGACAAAAATATTGACGTGGCACTAATTACTGAAACTCGACTAACCACTAAACAGCACTTCAAAATACCACAATACCTGACATATCGTACTGACCACCCTGACGGAAAAGCACATGCCGGTACTGCTGTCATTGTACACCAATCCCTCTCCCATCACCTACTCCCGTTACCTACACATGATTTCCTACAGTCCACCGCTATCGTGATAAAAACCTTTTCCTTTCCGGTTACCCTTGCATCAGCGTATTGCCCTCCTAACCGATCCATATCCAATGCCCAATTCCGTTCTCTCCTCGACTCCTTAGGACATCACTTCATCTTGGGTGCAGACCTAAATGCCAAACATCAACAATGGGGTTCCAGAACCACGAATACTCGTGGCCGAACCCTGCTGTCTGCACTCAATTCCCAACATTTTCACCTCCTTTCCCCCAACTCTCCTACCTACTGGCCTACAGATCCCAACCGTAATCCTGATCTTCTTGATTTCTTTATCCACAGCGGCTTAAGTCCCCTCAATTGTTCCATTACACGTCTAAATGAACTTTCCTCTGACCATAGTCCTCTAATCCTTAATGTTTCACTTGAACCCGTTCCCAAACCTTCTCCACCGTCATTTATTAGGGGCCCAGTTAACTGGGACCTTTTCCGCCAAATCATCTCCGATAAAATTGATCTTAACATATCCCTCAAAACTCCCGATGACCTTGATAGTGCCGTAAATTCCTTTACTACCACAATCCAACAAGCCGCCTGGACTGCTTCCTTCCCAAAAGACTCCTCCAGAATTCCTAAAAAGACCATTCTACCCCAACACCTCCTTGACCTAATCCAAACCAAACGCCGTGCCAGATTATTGTGGCAACGTACCCGACATCCTACCGACCGCTGCTCCTATAATTACTACTGCAAACAATTAAAACTGGAATTAGCCACCTTCAGATCACAATCCTTCAACTCCTACCTATCCTCCCTCTCTTCTCGCGACAATTCCCTTTGGAAAACCACAACAAAAATCCTAAATCCTCACCGCATTTCCCATCCTCTCCGACGAGGTGATGGCTCCTGGGCAGCATCTGACGAAGATAAAGCTGAGGAGTTCGCCATTCACCTATCCAATACATTTATTTCACATCCGGAATCCCATCCTGCCCACACCGTAACAGTAGAAGAACTCCTTACATCACCAATCCCACTTTCCTTGCCCCCAAAAGCTATTCATCCTTCCGAAGTGAAATTTCAATTAATCCCCCGTAAAGGTCCTGGACATGATCTCCTTACCCCTCAAATCCTTCGACAACTTCCATCCAAAGCAGTCATATTCCTTACATATATCTACAATTGTATCCTACGCACCACCCACTTTCCACTCCTCTATTATCCTTTTCCAAAAACCAGGCAAACCTCCCAATATCTCAACATCCTATAGACCAATTAGCCTACTCCCAATCCTTTCAAAAATTTTTGAAAAGATCCTTTTGAAACGAATCCTACCCATTATAGAATCCCAAAATATTCCTTCCCATCAGTTTGGTTTTCGCTCCCAACATTCTAATGTTCAACAAGGACTCCGAGTTGTTGATCATATTTCCTCAGCCCTAGAAAACAAGGAATACTGTTCGGGTGCATTTCTGGACATTGCACAGGCATTTGACCGGGTATGGCACTCCGGACTGCTCTTCAAGCTTAAAATCCATTTACCTCAGTCCTTGTACCTAGTCCTCCGATCCTACCTCTCTGACCGCTCCTTCCGAGTTCGCTGTGCAACAGAATTTTCCAATATCTACTCCGTTAAAGCCGTTGTTCCCCAAGGCAGCGTCTTGGGTCCCGTGCTTTTCATCCTCTTTACTGCTGACATCCCTGTTCATCCCGATACTTTTCTTGCAACATTCGCTGACGACACCGCAATCTTATCATCCAACTCTGATCCCAACATAGCATCCTTAAATCTCCAAAACCACCTCACCTTGATTGAGCACTGGTGTAATAACTGGCGCATTAAAGTTAATGAATCTAAATGCCAACATATTACCTTTACACTCCGACGCAGTTCCTGTCCACCAGTACACTTTAATTCCATCCAGTTTCCTTACTCAGACACAGTCCGGTATCTTGGCTTTCATTTAGACCGAAGACTAACGTGGAACCCACATACTAGACTCAAAAGACAAGAACTCAACCGACGATACGGCCAGCTATACAGACTACTAAACAGAAAATCCAAACTTTCTATTGAAAACAAATTACTTATCTACAAGACAATACTGAAACCTATATAGACATACGGACTTGAACTGTGGGGGACAGCAAAAGCTTCTAACATCAAACGTATTCAATCCTTTCAATCTAAAGTCCTTCGAACAATAGTTGATGCTCCGTTCTATGTAAATAACAAAATCCTACACCATGACCTTAATATCCCATTTGTCCTAGACCTTATTCCAGAAAAATTCTCCAAATTTCACCAGAACCTTACCTATCATCCAAATCCCCTTGCACAATCTCTATCCAGCACCACCCATCCTTACAATCCTCCTCGAAGATTGAAACGGCAGTGGCCCAGAGACCTTTTGTAAATAAGCATCTATTGGAGTTTTGGCAATGGCCAGATCCTCCACTCAAGCCCGAGTGTGTATGATTAGGTTAGTTCTTTTGTTTATATACATTTATTTTATGTTATTGTATTTATTTTTATTGTATTTTATTGTATTTATTATTATTAAGTTTCTGTATTATTTTTTTTTTTATATTGTAAATAGAGTGTGAGTGTTCTTTCTCTGATCACTATTATAAATGTCCTTGATGTGACAGAATGTAATATTTCTAAATAAATAAACAAAATAATTCTTTTGATATTAATTCAGGGATTCATATGACGACAATTTTTGAATATTTTGGTTTAAAATTAATGTGAAAATTATCTACCTACCATGCACCGTTTCATAACAATTTTCTAAAATTTATCATTATAATTCGTCAGCTGATCATTCTCTTATTTCATAGAATATAATTTTTATTTCTAAAAGTTATATATAAATAATGAAAAGACAATGTTAAATTTTAAGAAAAGAATACAAAAATAATATAATTTGATCTCAAAATATGTACCTCCTTAGTAGAAGATATTAAGTGTGATGTTCAACTAAAATACCGCGTCGAATAAGTACCAAAGCTACTGGTAAATTCCAAATATTAGATTTTTGAAGTGAAAATTTCTTTAGGTGTGTTTTGCAACTTTTTGTGGTGAGTGAATTAGATTGATCCGTCAAATTTCCGAAGTGTTAACACTCGGGTAAAGTGGACTAGAGTCGACTAATTGAAATGTTTCTACATATGGATTAAAATATCTGAGAAACTAAAAATCGGGCCTGCATACTGTAAGCGAGCAACTTGTTCAGCATTTCATCCTCTCTGTAATAGAGTATAATTCAAAATTGAATCTTAACGCGACGCCGTGTTAGGGAGGCGAAAAGGAAAAAATAGTGTCGAAAACCAAATGAAAACGAGTTAGTTTAACATATGAATTAAAATATTTCATATACTAATAATCTTACCTGCATACTGTAAGCGAGGGAAATGTTCAGTATTCCATCCTCTTGATTATGAGCTATTATTTATAACTTATATTTCATATTATCGATCTCGCCTTGTTGATGTTTTCTTGTGGTCTAAAGCACTCACCTTAGTTTTTTACCTAATTTGGCAAAAAACATGAATGATACTTCATATAATTCTGTAGCTTAGAACTGATTTCTACAAGAGAAAAACTTGTGGTATTGAGATAGTAGAGCATTCAATTCAGCGTCCAGGGAATACACCTCTTCTCACATTACTTCTCTATGAAATTATGTTACTTTTGACACCTCGTTTGAGAAAATTCATCCCTCTAGACAGACAGAATCCACTATAACTTTTAGTTTCTAACCAAGATTAAGTCAGTTGCATACAAAACCGTGCGTTGTAATTCGTATATGTCTTCTATGTTAATTTTGCGAACTGTGGAAGATTGCCAATTTCCTGAGGTGAACTGGATCAGAGGTTTGCGCCCATAAATATACAATTTAAAAATACAATATCCCATCTTCTGCAAGATTCACTGCACTCCTTATTTCGGCTATCTACTAATTAAGCTAATATATACGTGAACTATTTTTCTGAACATATATCATAATGCTTTTTATAAAAATCAAGGGTTATAGACTTCTATAATATGCCTATAAATGTCGAGTAGGGTTATTCACACAAATATACAATAGAATGTATTGAAACGATGTTCAGAATAATGTTTATTGTTTAAAAATCGTCCTTTCTTACGTCTCCCTCAAGTTTCTGCAGGAGACGTTAACTTGAAAAAATACAACATTATAGCGAAGGCCATGATAGCGTACAACGCCGCAGATATGTAACAGTTTAAACTAATCGTGTCAGCGTAATTGTAAATCTCCTTCAAGAACTCTTCAGGTTGAGTCGATTCCGAAAGTTCTCCGAGGCTATTCAGTAAGATAACGGCTCTGAACTTGAAAAAGAAACCGAATACAGCGAGCATCACTGCACCCCAGACAGAGATGATGAGTGTCATAACCAGGCAGCACATCTTACATAACCCCATCTTCTTGAATATTTAGCAATCTAACTAATACTATAATAAATTAAGAAACGCACTGTATGTCAATCAACAAGGGTTTTGGGCACACCAACTAACTTCAAGCTTAACCTTTCTCACACGATTGAGGTTACCAAATATCATGCCTGATAAAAAGATTATATTCATTTGAAACATGTGTGTTTATCGTGCAGTTCGTTATTATTTATTACTGACGATTTCAACTTAGCACCTCAAGTCCATTGAACTTTGGCCTTTCTCATATGACAAGCTGTCGGTTTTCAAGATAAATCAAAGGGATTTTGGACAAGCACTAGTGTTGCTTTTATACATTTGTTTATAGTCCGTGGTAGAGACCGCTTTTTATCAAATTATTAACATCCTCCTGGAATTTCGTAAATAATACTACTTCATCTCATCGTTACCTACAAATATTTTATTTACTAAAATTTTGGGAAAAGGATTTTGTCAAACTGGATGTCGACAAACTTTGTCTAATTAATTTGGTACTAAAAACTCAGAAATACCCATTTGCTTTCCACTTGAACCGTAAGATAATTTATCACAAATAAATCGATAAAAAAGGTGGCCTTCAAAAATATTGGGCCGTTTGGCCTATATAACCTCGTTATTTTGACAATTTGGAGATGTAGGTCACGCCAAACGGCTCAATATTCTTGAAGGCCGACTTTTCCCTAGACTTTGTGCTCAAATTACCTTACAATTTAAATGAAAAACAAATGTGTATTTACGAGTTTTTAGCAACTAATTAAATAGACAAAGTTTGCCGACCTCTAGATTATAAACACTCCAATTTCGTGAATCTTTGTTAATAAAATATTTGTACTTTAAGATGAGATGATGGTATTTACGTTTCAGGCGGATGTTAATAATTTTAATAAAGAAAAGGATATACCACTGACTATTACTATTTATGTTGCTTAAGAGTGTTGAATTTAATGATGACTGGTAAGATTTTAATTAATTTTCACCAACGTCAATCTCCTTTAACCAATTATACGCCTTCTTTTGCTTCCTTTGGTTTCTTTTTAAAATTATATTATAGTTTTGAGAACATCGGATTATAAAGGAAAAATCCGATTCCCAACTGTCATCATGACCGGTTCTCTGGAAATACAGTGTAAAAAAACCGTATTTCTTCTGTTTCTTTATTATTTCTTGTTAATACTTTACTATAAAATTCAAAACCTCACAGATAAACAAAATAAATATTTACGATAAACAACCTTATTTGGGTTATTCATATTGAATTGTGAGATTTTTCAATAATTATTATATTTAATCTATATTTGATTATTTATTTATCAAAACCCTTTTTAATCTCACAATGTTTTAATTTTGCATTTAAAAATTATTATTTCAGTAACCATCCTAAAAAAGAAAAAAAAAATAGCTAAGAAGTACAAATAATGATAAAAATTATATACAATATTAAATTGATTCGAAATTATTTACATGCATGTCCATTATGTATACTCTACTTGCATTTAGTTGGTTGTTGGTGCATTCATCTACTATGCAACGGAATTTAGCTAACATGCACTATTTTCTCAGTGTACGCCAAAACTGCACTGAACCGCTATTATAAGCATAAAACTGAACTCCATACCGAACAACTTAGCAAATTATGGTAACCTCTGTTCTTTTCTGGTGTGTGTTTTCCAGATAGATATCGTGATCACTTGCGTTTTATGTTAATCAGTTTTTAAACAACATATTCTAACGTTACTAAAAAAATATAGGAAAGTAAAAAACTTGTGAATGGATGGTAAGCGAAGTTCCTTTAAACCTGTGATATTGTCTTGGGAGGTTTCAATTCTATTCCACAAACATAAAATTTGAATTCTAGAAAATTTTATGTTTTTGTCAGAGATTGTAGAAAATCTCTAATTTTTGAATGTTCATGTTGCAAGAAATAAAAAAAAAAATTTGTTTTTGAAGAACAGTAAGTTCTAATAGGACCAAAAATCCCATTCCAAATGGACCGTTTGACCAAATATGAGGTTGTTGTAGGCTTGATCCAATGCTTTTCCTGTATGGTGGATCATTCGGTTCAGCTCGATGGATACAGGATTTGCAATCATATTCAGTCAGACTGCACTACAGGCAGAATAACCTTTTGAGTAACTATTTTTTTTTCTTGTACCATGTACGTTGCAAATAGCAAGTAATATTCTAGAATTAAAATTTTATTTTCATTTAATATAATTGAAATCACCCAATAATTCCACAGGTTCAAATATTGTTTGTCTATCATTCAGGGATATGTTTACATCCATTCATATAAATTAAAATATCATCCACTACATTAATAAGCACCTACTTCTTTCCCAACCCGATCGATCATGAAAAGTAGATAAGAGAACTTTTTAAGTTCCCCAGAAATGGTTTTGTTTAATTATGTTATTTTATTTTCACATGTTTGTATTGTATATATCTGTATGTATTTAGTTGTTTTTTTTTATTTTCTTCCAATATTTTTATTTTAATGAGCATTGTAAATATTTAATTTAATATTATGGCCACACAGGCATTTCCTCTGTATCTATGATTTGTCCTAAAGGGACAAAAGTCCCAGGATAATAAAAATATATTTTTATTTCATTTCAATTATGGGTATGAAAGCTTTTCTCTCGAGATTTCTCATGAGATTAATACGCCTTTATTTCTAAAACCACACATTCGGTTAGAAACATTGTTGAAGGGAAGTTAGGAATTTGTGAAAAAGTAATCGAGTAGTCATTAATCTTATGGAATTCCATTATATTAATTTCCAAAAAAGATTTCGCCTAATTATGCACAAACGAATTGTCTTTAATAGGCATATTTTTCGAAAACGGCACATTCCATTGGTCTAAAGTCGGAGGAAATGGGGGTATCCTTTACCTCTGGGGCATAGAAATAAATTATTATAACCGAAAGAATTTTCCAAATCCCACCTACATTTCTGTACGAATCTATTTATAGAATAAGACATAAAAATATACTTTTTTATTATCAGAAGATTTTGTAAAGAACAATGCTTTCTTTTAGAAAAGTTTTTTAAGCGATATTAAAAGGACCAGGGCTATAATTATATTTTATGCTCTGTTCATGATTAAAGGTTCATGTTTGAAAAATAGAATTGTTTAATTCATTTTTAGAAATCATACAAAACTCTATTTTTAGCAATAAATAAATAAAATTTATCTCAATCTCTTGGATTTTATCTATTAATACAGTTTTTGGGTAATGAGTATTAATGATGACAATTATTTCGAGAAAAAAAAAATCAAGGAGCAAGTATGATTATCTTGCGGATAAACATTTACGTGTACCACAAGTACTATAACTTAATAAAATATTTCAATATATTTAAAATATAACAAACTTGTAGATGGCAATTATTTTAAGAATAAATGAAATTAGATTTTTACTTCAATTTTTTTTATTTTTCTTGTTAGAATTATTTTTTTTTAATTTATTTTTTATAACTACTAACTAAATTTAATTTGAAGAAATCCATGTTAACTTAATTAATGTATACTGATATATATATATATATATTAAAATATAATATAATAGTAATAGAAATAATAAAAATCATAGCAATTCGTTCTTTTAAGTTTTATATATTTTTCTCTTGCATAGTAGACCTGTACAATAGTATTTTCAAATATATATAAATATACACACTAAAAATATGTTGTTATTTTTCTTAAAACTTGATACTTATAAGAAATGATACTTATTTCGAAAATATTTTGTTTGAAATTCAAATATACTTACTTTTACTTAATTCCGGTGTTCCAACGTGGGATACCTCTTCAGGTCAGAGCAGAGCTCCACACATCTCTATCCTCCCAGGTCACCCTCCTGTAGACCTCGGCCGGCCATCTCTTCTCGGACTCCTTCCATCCACGTGGTTCTCGGTCGTCCTCGCCTACGCTTTACGGGTGGCTGCCAGTCTAGGACTCAGTTCGGCCGATGCTCCTCCGGCATTCTCCTGCAGTGTCCATACCACTTCAATCACCGTTTCCCGATCCTCTCAGAGACGGTCTCCTCTACGACTATTCTCTGTATCACCACTTCATTTCGGATTCTGTCCAGCCTCGTTAACTGTAGACACCTCCAAAAATCCATTTCTACAGTCCGAATTTCGGCATACAAGCCAGCATTCATCGACCATGCCTCACATCCGTAGGTTAATATGGACTCGACAATAGCCGTGAATATGCGCCGTTTGTTCGTGTTTGAAATAGTGTCGTCAAATATAAATAATTATTTGTCATATTATTTATCATTATTAAATCATACATTTAAATACAGCTAATAGAAGAGAAAGTAATAATTAATTCCGATCGTAATATGCGTACGTACTTAGGGACTACTCTTATAAAGTGGTTTATTATCCATAATAATGTTATTTTCCATAAATGTTATTATGAAGTGCTATTTAAAGATTGAATAATTCTTTTAACAGAAGGATGGTTGGGGTGAACGGTCAAAATAAAAATAACAAAAATAAATAATAATATTTATTTTTAAAATTGTTGACGTTTCGGCCCAAAGTCTTTCCAGGCTTGTCGGATTGGACAGCCTGATGGAGGCCTGAACTTCGGGCCGAAACGTCAACAAATGTAAAAGTAAATAAATTATTTATTTTTACTATTTTTATTTTGACTGATCACCCCAACCATCCTTCTCTTCAAATAATTATTGCATTTTTAAAGGGCACTTCAAAATAATATTTATGGAAAATAACATTATTAGGGAAAATAAACCGCTTTATGAGAGTAGTTCCCAAGTACGTATGCATTTTACGATCGAAATTAATTTTACTTTCTCTTTTACTAGCTATATTTAAATATATGATTTATATTTGAAATTCAAACAAAATATTTTTGTTATAAGTATTATTTCAAAAGTTTTAAGAAGAACAACATATTCTTATATTTATATATATTTGAAAATACTGTTGTACAAGTCTACTATGAAATTATTCTTTACAATCAACTCTCAACCCAGTTTTAAATAAGTATTTATTTATTAATACTTTAAACTTATACTTTTGTTGAAGAAAAGAGAGATAGGTTTATACACTTCGCTTCAATGGCTCCGAAGTTACGTTCACATCATCTCTCCTATACGCTTGGATTTTCTCGCCT